TATTTGTTACTATAAAGGTTTGTTTTGTTACTTTTGCTGTGGAATTAGGGATGCTAAGGCAGGTCTTTATCCCTCTTGTTTTACAGCCTTGGAATTTTCCAAAAAGAGCTGCTATGTGTACGACTATGTTGCAGAATATATGGAAATAGTCTTGACCCTGCGTTCACTCAATGTGTCATGTGTTTATCTGTGTGTCAATCAAATTAAGTCTGACTTGTAGAGAGCCCGTGTGTGTTACAGTAAAACTGTGCTCCCCAAATAGTTTCCTAGGCTTTTCTTCTGAGGTGACCTTGGATGGATCTGAACTCATCAAATCTTCGTTTGGCGGCTGAGCATGTTTGGATCATGCAGGAGCCTCCATTTCTCTCCCCAGAAGGGAGCCAACTTAGGAAGAAGAAAAGCATAAGTAAACAGTTTTCCAAAATCATCTTGGCTTATCCCTGAGTGGTTTCATTTCATATCCTTCAGGATTTTGCACACGGGTTATTCTTTATATTAACCATTTTATGCTCTAGGCAGCATTTACTCAGCCAAGAAATATTTATTGAGTTTGCTCCATGGCAGCTGGGAATTGTTCCATTATGTCACCCATCACCTTCTCTTTCTTTTTTAGATTCACAAGTGGTTTGTCAATTTCATTAGGCCTTTCAAGTAATAAATGTCTAGTCCTTTTTTTGAGGAAATCTTTGGTCTTGCAAAATTCCAAGCTTCATTCTATCACCAAGCCCATCTTTTCCAACAGCTGTTTCTTCCACTTTGTTTCCAACTTTTGCATTCCAATCTCCAATAATTATCAATGCATCTTGATTACGTTTGATAAAATTTCAGACGGAAGACATTGGTAAAATTCTTCAATTTCATTATCACTAGCTTTAATGAAGGCATTAATCATGAATAAGGCTCCAGGAATTGATGAAATACCAAGTGAAATGTTTCAACATGGATAGTTTTGAAGAAGCACTGGAAATACTCACTCACCTATGCCAAGAAATTTGCAAGACAGCTACTTGGCCAACTGACTGGAAGAGATAGATCCCTATTTGCACCCATCCAGACAAAAGTGACCCAGAAGATTGCTCAAATCATAGAACAATAGCATTAATATCACATGCAAGTAAAATTTTGCTGAAGATCATCCAACAACAGTTGCAGCAGTACATTGACAGAACCTGCCAGAGCTTCAGGCTAGATTCAGAAGAGGACATGGAAAAGGGATGTCATTGCTGATGTCAGATGGGTCTTAGGTGAAAGCAGAGAACAACAGAAAGATGTTGACTTGTGTTCTATTGACTGCACTGACGTATTAGACTATATGCATTGACCAAAGTATGGATAGCCTTGAGAAAAATGGTGATTCCAGAACATTTCATTGTGTTCTACCTGTACTTGAACACATTAGGGAATACTTCATGTTTTAAAATCAGAGGGATGTGCATCAGGTTTGATTCCTCTCATCACATTTGTTCCATCTGTAAACTGAACAAATCATTAGAGAAGTTGGATTATATAAAGAAGAATGTGAAGGTATCCAGGATTGGAGAGAGCTTTTTTAACAGCCTGCGAGACACAGATGATACAAACTCACTTGCTGAAAGTGAGAAGGATTTGAAAAACTTCTGATGAAGAAAAAAGATGGCAGCCTTCAGTATGGATTACATCTTAATGTAAAGAAAACAAAAGTCCTCAAAACTGAACCAATAGGTAATATGATGAACAACGAAACGATTGAAGTTGTCAAGGATTTCATGGTGCTGGGATCCACAATCAATTCTCATGGAAGCAACAGTCAAGAGATCAAATGACACATTGCCTTGGGTAAATCTGCTGTACAAGACCACTTTAAAGTGTTGAAAAGCAAAGAGGTTATTTTGAGGACTAAGG